AGAGTCCATCCATTTTAATCATTTGTCACAATCTTGAGGATGAAAAATGTTTGTAACTGAAACTATAGGGTACATGACAGTTTAAAATATTTAAACCCAAAGATCGAGCCAACGAAACTGAGACAAAGGTTGTTGCTTTCTGTATAAAGACTGTAAACTACAAACGCTCTGGTTAGCCTGTCTCCTGCCCATCTGGTAGTGCTACAGTAAATGATCACGTCGGACCATGAATCTCATTCTGCACATCTGTCCTGAGTGACACCACTGAGGGTGACACCTTCCTCTCCAGCTGTGACACGTGAACCACAGGAAAGCTGCCTGTTCTCCTCCTGTCAATGTTCATTTTTTATGTCAGCGGGCCAGACACAGAACGTTGTGCCCTGCTAAGTGTATCTGGAAGGAAATGTGAGAAAATCAAGGTAAGGCAAATTGAAGCACCAAAATGTTCCTCTTCCTCTGTCCATCACTGTGTCTAACTCTCACAAATGGGTAAAAGCAGTGAGAATGGCACTAAAAAGGGCACATGAGGTCTGTTTGTATGTCTGTGCAGCTGAGTGCAGGTGCATCTGTGTGTGTAATCTGTGCACAGGGAACGGCTTGCTGTGTGAGTAAGTGACCAGGCGCTGCAGCAGTTGGACACTGACCTCTATGGCACGACAGACTTCCTCTAGCTGACTAATGATGCCCTGCATCCTGTCGTTGTTACCGACCATCATGGCAATGCCGTCACTGAGCTCCGTCTGAGGGGGGTAAAAATATGGCAAAGTAAATACCTGAGAACAAGTGCAACTAAAATCTGCATAATTTTGAAGATTCTTTATTAAAATGTACATAATTTAGAAATGACATGTCATAATTTAAACAAAAATACATGTAGTCTACTGTATGTGTTTGTCTGTCTGCATATGCTCATGTTCCAGAATCCATGACCTCTGTAAGTATTTCAGGCCTCACCTTCTTTGTCTGGTAGATGCTGCTGATGGGTGCTACCTCACAGTCTTTATGAGCTCCAAACACCTTACACATGGAGCATGTGGGCACACTATGGGTCACACAGTAAATGTTGAGCTTTTCTTCTTCGTGGACATCACACATAGGCATTTCTTTCTTTCTGTCTGGCACTGGCTTGCTGCTGTTGAGAGTAAAGAAGGCAATGGAACCCTCCTGTCACACTGTACATTTCAGTGCATATAGAGCGCCTTAGGGATGATGTATTTTTGTAGGCCAACCTGGATATTAGCATCACCAAGGGTTCTCTCAACAAAAAGCCAGTGGGATTTTCCATAGGCTTTTGGATTATTGCAGAAAATAATCTCTGTGACAAACAGCAGTTTATGACACTTACACATTTTGTTTAGCAAGATAATCTTCACAAGTGAACACCACTTTTATGATGTTTGATGCCCAAATACGATCACCAGAAGTAAAAAGCTATTGTTAGGCTATAAACAAACTACACCACTGTCCCATGACTTCAGCTTCATCATCACAGCTTCCAATTTGTCATCCGATTCACCGCGCTTACCTCTTCTACCAAATCATTTCCTCTTAGTGTGACCTGATCTAGCCTGTGATCATAGCTGTGTCAGTTTGTTGGAATAGTTGGCAAGTGCATGGGTTTAAAAATAACGAAGCTGTAAATGTGGGCTAATGAGTAGATGAGTCTCTGTGTTTGGCATGATGATGTTCAGTATCCCTGACAACCTCTGGCTAGCAATCACCTTTTTTTAGACACATAAAAGCTTTAATAATCACAAGTGGGATATTTACTAACATATTTTATTGCAAAAATGTTAACATAAGTTCCGTGTTTTCAGACTATGGCACTCTATTAATGTGATGTATACTGTCAGGTTAATAATGTCACAACTATACATCTTAGTAGTTTATTGATGATACACCAGTCTTGCATTGCAATGTCAGCACTATAGTCATTATATCACCATTACACTAAGATGTGTGCAAGTGTAAAATCATGTTATTGTGATAAATCTTTTATGAATAATTTATACTTTCACATCAAGTTAATTGATCCATCAAGAATAACACAAGATTTGAGTTAATTAAATGTAAAATAGTGCCACAAAATCTTGATCCAGTGTGAGGCTGCATATCCTGAGTGTATGAGTCTAGTGGATCTTGTGTCATACAAGCCTTTTGGTCATAACAGCCAGCTATTCAGATTAGGAAATCATCTGTTTAGATAGATGACTATGACCTGAGATATCCTGTCACGCACTCCAGCTCTCTGACTCAGAAGCCACTGGTACTAAGGCCACAGCAGCCTTCAGCCACCACATTGCCAGTTTATCCTTTACCACCTCTGTTGCCAGGCCTTAGGATTAAAAACAGATTGGACTAATAAGAAAACCTGTCACTGAACTGTTGAAGTGTAATGATCAGCAGTGACCATTTCCTTGGATTTGTATCAAGCGAGACTATAAATGTGTCTGATCAGTCTCACCTGTTTGACTCCTGCTTGAACATATCAATAATATTCTCAACAAGCAGGTTCCTCTGCAGCCCGTAAACACCGTGCCTGTCCAGAACCACTTCATGCCTGCAGGACGGACATCGGAAGCGGCCACTGGACGTCACCGAGCCACCTCTTGATGGGAGGTAGGGGTTTGAAGCCTGTTAGTAGTTACATTCAAAACCCAAAGTTTAGTGTGATGAGCAGGGTGATAATAGATAGATTTGGCTTGGTTGCAAAAAGTAATAAAATCTTTTCACTCAACAGTTATGAAAAGTTAATCCAGTGGATTAACAGTCCTTAACACCAAAGTGTAGCCTCATCACCAAAATGCTCCCAAGTGTTTTAATGCAGACCCTAGCACTTAAAACTTAGAAAGTTTGTATATCTTATTCAATCAGTTACTGTTTGGGTCTTTAATACGTCATAAATCTAGGGCAAGCTGATATTACCTCACTTCCAATGACGTACACTGTCACATGGAGATGTTTGTATGTAACTGCAGTGTTCCATGAGATTATAAATGTTTCCCTGATAAATAAAACAAATAAGTGGTAAAAGTTGCTTACCCGGAAAACATCACTAGCACATTTTCTGCAGAGGTTGTGTTGGCAGGGTAGGATGACCACAGGCTTTGTAAACATTTCCAGGCAAATGGGACAAATGAGCTGTTTCTCCAAGTTGTCCATTGTGTTCACTTTATGACAAAAGTCTTTAGTAGTTCATCAAACGGTGCCAAAACCTAATCGGACAAGGCAACTGTTGCTGGTAAAGTTAGTAAACCCTCCGTTTCTGGGGACAATCTACAGTAGGCCCGGAGTCCGGCGGAGGAGTAGGCCTGCCTGTTCCTGTGTGTCCGAGTGTGTGCTGCTATCGCAGTGGTGTCAGTTCTGTTTTTAGCAGCTATTGCTGTCACGTCAAGGTTGCCATTTTTACCTTGCCCATATTTGAAACTAAGCAGGGCAGTGCTGGACAGCTGCCTACCAGCCTCCAGCTTCACATCTATAAGTCTGTTGTTGAACAGCACTACCTGTGGTTTGAGGAAGTACTTTGAAAAAATATTTTTACTGTTGACAACCACAGTGTTAACAAAATGGTTATATGTGCATTTCTTAAAGCTTACAATATAATGCTCTACAGATTTGAATCAGGCTGCATGGTGGTACAGTGGTTAGCACTGTCACCTCATAGCAAGAAGGTTCCAAGTTTGAACCCCAACCGACCCGGTGCCTTTCTGTACTGAGTTTGCACGCTCTCTATGTGCCTGCGTGGGTTTTCTCCAGGTACTCCGGCTTCCTCCCACAGTCCAAAGACATACAGCTAAACTGCCCGTAGGCGTGTGTGTGGTTGTCTTTCTCAAAGCGTTGACCTGTCCAGGGTAAACACTGTCTCTTGCCCGGTGTCTTCCACCCCCGTGACCCTCTTCAGGATAAGCAGTATAGATAACAAATGGATGGATAGAGTTGAATCAGTTATACTATAAATCCCTTGATATTTTTTAAAATGTTGCTCCAAAAGCTCTGAACAACCATAACAGTTTTAAAGCATCTGAAATCAGTTCCATGCACAAGAGTGTTTTACTGATGTATTTTCTATTGGCTGTGGATAACAGTGGAGGTGTATGGCACAGACAAATCAGATGACCCAGGACTGATGGGCATTAACCATGAGAGGAGATAAATCATTGTTGGTTTTAATTTCTGTATAGTGAGTGTAGAAAATGCTGTTAATATAGAAAATGGCCAACCTTATTCTTTAATTTCCTTTCCCCCCAAATTCCCCCAATTTGGTACTTTTCTGTAACTGTGCAGAAGATTCGTTCTATTTTCATAATTTACCAATTATTTACATAGTTTGGAATGAAACACCATGAGTGCATTGGTTTGGTGATGTCACTAGAAAACCTACATCTGCAAAGACACAAAACACAAAAGAGCGAGTGTTAGTTTATAGAGTTGAATCAGTTATACTATAAATACTATAAAGTGAAGACTCCTGTGGCGTAAAGTTTTGTCAAACATAACATACAAATTTTCTTCACACACGACAAGCAATTTCTTCAGCAAAGCAAAGGCTTCAGTGTCTTGCTTAAAGGATGCAGCCGTTGATTTTTGGTCACTATCATTGATATTTCAGCAAAATTCTTTTTCGTTACATTACATTGTATTAGTGGGTTTTAGAGGTGCTGATTTTATATTTTAGTATACAGTACTATGGAGATTTGTCTGTACTTTGTCAAAACATTTATACAGAACACCCGACATACCAGAATAATAAAATATGCCGCATTATAAACTGATTAACATAAAACAAAGTGAACATGGCACCAAATTCTTGAAGCTGTAGCTGCCTGTGACCCATCCTTTCTACTTTACTTTGGAATTTGTCTCATAGTTAAACTTCAAATGCAACTTCGTATCCTATGCTTAATTACAGTTTAAAGTTTCTGTCACTTATGATTTGTAAAGCTGTAAACAGCAAACACGTATAGATATGTTTCATGTGATTTCTCCTTTCTGTTTATATATTTTTCCTGTTATTTACTACATATGTGCTGTAATGTTTTCTCAGCACTTTGCAATGCTGTGGGCATAGCAATTCATTCAAATTTAATCAGTAGTCTTTAAAAAGGCTGAGTTAGTATGATTACATATTCATTAAGAAGCAAGAACTGTTCAAATGCTCACCATTTAGTGTAGATGGCTTCTAAAAGTGAATTCAAATGGGACCAATTAGGAAGTGCTCTGGGTTATGTCTTATTGATTGAAGTGTATTTTTAATATTACAAGCCATTATTGACTAGCTCATAATAATGCAGTGTGTGTGGCAGTTAAAATTCAGAAAAGACGGAAGATAGACAAATTAAGAGCAGCATGGCAATTTTCCTTGATTTTGTTCAGTGGTAGCAAAGAGTCTACAGTAGAGTGTGGATACCCAAACCAAACACGTCTGTACCCGAAAGTGTGGGCTGGATTTGGGCAGAAATATGTGGCCAGATCCATGCTCTAGTCTGCAGGTACTGACAAGACCACGCAATATACAGCATCAGGTATGCACTGCACATACAAAGGTCTATAGTCTCATATGGGACCAGAAGACAGAGCAGAGTTGTAGGTGCCATCTGTTCTCTAGCATGAATATTTTAGTTAGGTGGAAGTCATATTGTATTCATACAGATGTAAAGCACTCACTGTTGCATTTTAAAAAGGTCTTGGTAAACATTCTCAGTTTATTACTGTATGTCCTGAAAAGACCCACTAAACTGATGTTCTTCACATCAAAACATCTCTTGGGGCAGTGGTGTCCTAAAGGTTAGAGAAGCGAGTTTGTGACCGCTGGTTCAATCCTCTGACCAGCAGGATTAATAGGTGACAGGTGACAAAGCAGCATTTGCCTCACCCTCATTAATGCCACTGTGGTGCCCTTGAGCAAGGCTAACTGGTCCAGTGGAGCCGTTCAGTGGCCACAGGTCAGTCTGTGCTTGTACCGGGCAGCTTCCAGGTGTGAATTTATAACTGCGTGAATGTGAACAGGGCTTCCCTGAAAATGAGAGGCCACTTCTCAGTGGACCTACCACAGATTAATAAAGGTTAAAAAAGGAAAGACACTTGTTATCAGGGATAGAAAAGTGTATAACCTAATCAGTTAGAAGCAGTGTCATCTTACTACAAATCCTATAGAAAAAAGATAGGTAATGACTAGTACTGGTACAGTTATCTGTGACTCGTTGTGGATTTGCATGGGTTAAAAAGGGCAAATATGAAAAGTAAAGGTAAAATAAACTACAAAAATTCCCCAGATTAATTTAGACTGTTAAACTGAAAAAAGGTCAGAAACAAAAAAACATAATGTCACACAACTGAGCTGAGCTGATTATCTCATAAGAAGAAGCCAGATAAGTGATCATGTTCTGAATATCCAGACATTTTAAATTATAATTTCACTTTGTGTGAGAGCTTAGGTTCCGTTGTTATTGTTCTTACCACTTTTTAAAAAATTTTCCCTGCATCAAATAACTTTTGAAATAAACAGTGGCAATCAATAAACAATCCAAATGTTAATACTGATCAATAGGGCATAATACTGTGTCTTCTCGAGCTGTGATTACAAAGCCTAGTGGTCTTCATCACAGTAAAAGGGTGCTATCTAGTGGTAGAAAGAGGCCAGACAGTCGTGCTGCCTAGCACCACAATTCTGGACTCATTATTTTACACTAGCACCACATACTTTTTCCCTTGTGTCAGCTTTGCAATATGTTTGTATGTGACTGGCATTAATTATATAGCTTTCATGTCAATATAATGACTATTAGCATATTACAAACTTAATATTAGTTTAACTGCACAGTCAATACCCAATGATTACAGACCATTAAATATACCTTGGAAATGATGTAACTTCAATATTTGTGTCCTTGTAAGAGTTCTTTTTCACCACAAGTTGGATGTACAGTCACGACACTACAGTGCATGGTTGGTGTTTGTAATGACATCTAATAAGAAAGTATATGCAGAACAAATGTTCTGTTTATTTAAATAATTAATTATAAAATTATTATTATTAATTCATTATAAAATTAGTATAAACATATCTAACAATTGTAAAGAAAATATAGAAGGTGATTAATTAAAAAATGATTTTATGACAAACGTTTGAGTGTGATGATGCTTTTTACAGATGTACTTATACTTTAGGATCTGTATTTTAAAATGCACGGTAGGTGTGAAAGTACTGTGTAGGCAATGAAGGCAACTGATAAAGACTCCTGTGATGCTGACAGCATTGCCAGAGGGTAAGAGGTAAATTAATTTGCAGCACCATGGTGGGTTGCAGTGTCTCCAGAGAGCCTTCAGTAGGGTCAGGGAAAATGGATCACCAGGGGCCACACAGACACATACAATACTTGAGATGCCAAGGGGAATAATGAGGTATGCAACTCGCCTGTCTTATTAAAACTCCTGAGGCTGATGCTAGAGTAGTTACAGTAAACACATGGTGACTGTGCATGGTGTGTGTTAGTTGGTATGTATGCTTGAATATAGTAGAAAGAAAAAGCTTGTGAAAGAAATTCATTTACAGAATGTCACCCATATTTTTGTCCCCACATGTACACTTAAAGAAGTGAGTGTAAAATATATGGTCTCAGTGACCACATGCCATTGACAAAGTAATTAAGCAGTTTCAGAGTAAAGTCTGAATGCAAAACATGATCTTCTTTGCTCGCTTTGCAATAAATGACATTACAAATCAAGATGTTATTTACACTAACACTTGAGGAAAAGTACCAGTTAACATCAAACTAAATAGTTTGACTGTATTTTCAACCACAGGGTGTTCCACTAAGCTGGCTGTAAAGTAACTAACCAGAAATACAGTCATTGAGAATTTTTATTTTTATCTACTTGTATTTCTTCAGTTCATTCTAATATCAGCAATTCAGTGTTTACAAGTTTACATATATCAGTTTTTAGTAGGTTTTTGTTTAGGTGAGCATATGTAGCCTGAGTAATTGTTACTGCTGACTGTTAGTTAAAACTGTTACATTTGTGGTTTCAAATGCAAATACATCACCTTAAATCAAATTGAGATTAAATCACAGTATACCCCTACTTTTGGCTAGGGCTCTTTCCACCCCTGCTTCTTTCTTAATAGCACATTTGTTGTTGAATTTTGCAGTGCTGAGTCACCACATGCAGTCATATGGAGCAAACTGCCTCAGCCTAACTTTGTCTCAGCTCTGGAGTAGTATGATACTGTATGTTTAAATGAAAATATCAAATACAGAAATACACAAGTCATTTTACTTGCTTTTTATATATGTTTTTACTGCATAATAATCCAAACACATGTAAAATAAGAACAGTCTTTTCTCCTTTCTACAAGTTTATTTTTCAGACATGAAAGCAAAGAAGTGTATTGCATTTCAGTGTTGTCCAGAAGAGGGCAGCATAGACCTGATAAAACCCAGAGGGATTATTTTTCTTTTAAGAGTAATTGGTATCATTAGCATGGATGTATTGAGGAGAACTTGATAGGGGATTACAAGATGGCACTCACCTTATTTTTCTCATAGTTGCTCAGTGGCACCTACTCCCATAGACTATATAAAGCTCATCGACGAGTCATCACTTGTTGCCACTGTGCAAAAGTGATGCCAAAATATTTGCTTTGGTGAATAGATTCTACTAGAGTAGTGACCAGAGGTGGAACTGCCTGTATGTCTGCTAATCAAAGTTGACAATTATCCACAATATATCAGTTTCTACATAATCAAATAACTTATTAAATTCAGACTTATTTAATTCTACACAAATCAGTGTGATAATATCTACCTAAAACGACAGATATCATCTAAGGGAAATTTTGTTTTTTCTTAATTTTGGAATTTTTCATTTGGCTCATGTCCCATCCACTGACGTGCAGGGGGCTTGGTTTATCTCCTACAGTGGAACCATGTTTATACAGTTTATGCATACTCTGAAAACATTCATCATGCTTCTGGATTCCAACCATAAAAATAACTTGAGTGTTTGCCTCCCTGTTTTTGGGCCTATAACCCATGTGCTTCTTGCACACATGACTGGATTATAATAGAAATCACCTACAGTATGGCTCTTTTAGACGTTCCAAATGATATTGGACTCAATGAAACTATTTCTGATAATAAAACATTCATTCCACTGATTTACAGCTGCCACCTATCCACTAACTGTATATGTGGAAAATGCTATTTGGATCATTGTGCATCACCTCACGAATGCGGGAGCTGTAGTAATGCAGTTGGGCTACTCGGCCAAAATTGCTTCACAGTTTAGGGCTGTTCCTTGGGGCTTGATCATCAATTCTAAAATGATAAACAATCAAGTGTCTAATGACAGATTTAAGGGTGTGACTGTGGGTGGTGACACATGGGTTGTGTCTGAATCGTTCACAATTTATATAAATGTATTAAGAGAGCAGGATACAGTGTTACTGCTCAAAGCCTTACTGCCAATTTCTGGAGGAACTGGTATAACCACAACTGCATAAAATTAAATAACAGGTTACAAAGCCAGCAAAGTTTCATGTAAAAGTGTCAGACATATTCTAGGAGACACAGAAACAGAGCAGACGGTAATTCAATTCAATAAAATATGTTAGCTATCTAAATTCTTTTTTCAAATATTTCCATCTAGATAATTGCTTGTGGGTTTATCTTTCAAGTACACTATTCGGTTATAAACAAAAATTCTGTGACAAAATGCTTCAAATTTGTTGAAGATGTCACAATATAATGAATTTTTCATTGAGTGGTCCTTGTCTCCAAATGGACACAAGGTAACCGAATCATATTCTGAGCTAAAAAAAAAGTTTTCCTTTTCCAATTACATTTTGATATATTTCAACATGGGCTAAAATACTTACAAATTTCAATTAGTTTATGGTTTTACCTGTGTGTAAAATGCTAGGAGAGAGGAACTGAGGAAACATGACACGTCCTTTTTTTAATCCTTCATGCACAAAAGCATAAAAACCTCTGTGAAGGATGCTGTTGTATATCCTTGCTCATGTCTCCTCCAGTCAGCCTCCTTGCTCCTCTGTCTTCATTGTTCAGAAAAGATATAAGAGTTTAGGGACCTCCTCAGTGACTGCTCGACCAGAACTATTGGTTTTGAGTTGAGCGAGTAGCAAGGAATGATCATATAACTGACATGCTGTCAGTGTTGATATAAGGCTGGGTCAAATTGCCGAGAATTTACTCTTTGCTTGGGTGAGGGTAGATGTTAAAAGCAGCTTTTTAGAGCCAGTTTAAAATGTCCTGTACTGCAGGTTAGGTCTGAATGGTATCGCCCGTTGAGGGGCCCACCAGATTTGTGACAGCGCACCCTGATACACACTGTGGGCCCCAGTGATAGGTCACATCATCATATAATATGAACAGGCCTACTGGGCTTCAATAGGACTTCTCTTCCAACTTTTGGTACATTTAACTATGTTTTGATAACTGTTTTGTTTTGGCACGTCTGTGTTGCCCACTGCTGGACAACAGTGAAATGCAATACACCTGTTCACGTTGCTGTGTTGTGATTGTATTTTAAAATGAATACATAAATACAAATCATTCAGTTTTCAAAGACAAAAGGCTAAATAATTGCCATTTAATGCGTTTTTCATCTAATTAAAAGGGATACATAAAAGATTTCACAAAATTTCTGTATTTGATTTGTGCATGAACAAATTTTCCATTGAGTGAGTCATGGGAGGAAGGTAATCACTGGCAATGAGGCAGGGCAAGCCCCGGTGGTGAGGAATACCCATGAGAAAGTCTGCACGGTCTGTAACCGACTGCTCATATAGGTCTTGGGATCGCCCTGACCGCATAGCTAATCCTCACAATCGTTTCATAAATTGCAAGCGTCGATATCCAATCAGCGCTAAGTTTACAATAATTACCTTCACGCCATTGGTCGAGCTTAGACAAGGGCGTTTTTGCTTGCTCCAACAGCACCATCTCTGGCAGGTGGTGTGTGCTTTTAAACCATAGAGTAGGCTAATGTTTAGACCGATAGTTAGGTAATTGTAGGAAAATAAACACACTTTAGGTTGTTGATTTGCCATTTTTGGGCGGTAGTCTTGTGTTACGTGTCATAACATTTCCTTTAAAGCCACTGGAATCGCAGTGAATGAGAAAAACGTCGGATTTCCCCTCTGAGAGCCAAACACTTTGTGCTTTACGATCAGCGGCGAATTGCTCCTGTGAACTGCTCCTTCATCATGCAGCTTCTGAAAAAAAGACGGAAAAGCCCTACATGTTGATTGTATTTCAGCAGCAGCAGCAGCAGCAGCAGCGTATGTCTGAATGAGAGAAAACCCCCCGGTCACGGCTGACAAGATCTCACATCCTACAGCTGCCTCACTTCATCCACCGCAGTTGCACACAATGTAATATGTCGATGACACATTTTGTAAGTGCTCGTGCCTTTTGTTTTCATTTCTGGATTTGTGATCTGCGGATCTGTAAACGCCACGAAGCGCAAATGAGCGGACGTTTTTTTCAGCTTTGAAAATGAGGAAGCGTTTTCATAAAGACCCAGAAAATGGCAAGAAGGTCTCGTCGTCCGTGGGCCCGGATTTTAGTAAAATGAGAATAAAAGGAGCAAAAGCGTTATGAAATATTACATTGCCTACAGAATGACACCAAAGGTTTTAAAACGATGGAGGCATATAAGGCGCAGCATCAGTGAAGGCGATCTGGACAAGTTTTGAATCGCTCATAATGAACAGAAATACTTTGCAGCTCGATAACAGATCGTTTCCACAATATTGAATTTTTTTCGGCTTTTGGAGATAATCTAAATCACCAGTGCACGTGTCATCCTTTTCATTACATAATTGATTTTTTTTTTTATATTCTTGATCCGGATCCAGCCCTGACTGTTCAATGGAAGTATGTTATCAGCTGCCGGTTTTGCCTCTAGACAGGCCGGTTCCCAAGCATGTCCTTAGCCGGAGGGGAGCCATCAGTTTCAGCTCCAGTTCCTCTCTCTTTGGGGCTCCTGATCCAAGGCAGCTGTCACAGGTAAGGAAATGAATTAAAAATAAAAACAATGTTTTACTTCATTTTTTTTATTATTTAGTCACAGTGGTTGTAAGCAAGGGTGTAGGTTTGGTCTCAACATTTGTAGAGACACATGAGCCCCCACCCTGGATATAATTCTGCATTTTATCCAATTCATTTGCAGTGAGTTCCTAATAGCATGCGTTTAATTGCAGTATCATTTTGGCACCTCATCTGAAACCCTGAAGATTCAGCTACTTGGCCCTCAGCCTGCCCTTTCTGAGTTTCCTATGAAAATGATGCATGATGACCAGCTTACAGACATATGGTTAAACTTTATTTTTGAGGGCGATTTTAAATATGAGTTAATAGGATCATATGAAGTTGGCTTGTTCTGATGTAAGATATTTTTTTGAAACAAACTCATGGCGTAATATATTGACTTTCAAAGGTTATATTTCCTGAATATTACAATAATTACTAATTCCAAACTATAATTCATAATTAGGACCTCACCTGAAACACTGAAGATGCACCTGTTTCCTCATCAGGCTGCTCTACCTCTCTAGCCTGATGCTGTTTTCTGCATACAAAATAATTCATTAATTGTGACACTTTCATAGGGATTCTAGACTATAATTCAACTCATAATTTGATATATCTGTCCATTTTATCTTAAATCCTGCTAGCAATGTGACTGCTAGTGTACAGATAAAGTTGACATTAGGTAATGTGGTTAACTAATATGAGTTGCCAAGTGAAACTAGTGATGTTAGATAGCTAGCAGGCTTTCATTTAAAGTCAGCGTTGCTAGTGTTTGGTTTACTACCTAGCCTATAACCTAAGCTCTGCATGGTGAAGAGCTTAAGTAATAGTTTCTTTTTTTTTTTTTGGTGGAATATCTACAGAGGACAAGATGTGACACTGACAAATTTATGTGTGCTGTGGAATGCAGATAATAAAGAAAGGCCATTTCCGCATGCTTTAGAGGTATGAACTGACAGCCCTGAAAACTTACCATTGTTAGCACACTGACCACGAGCTATCTCCTCCCTGTTTCAGAGTAAATACAATATTTGCACGTAACGTTCAGATAGCCATAGCATGCCTAAACTGGTTATCCTCAAAGAAGGCACACTGTAATGATCTACTGTGACTTTGGTCCAAAGATAATGTGAACCAGTTTGCTCAAATATTGGCAGAAAACATTTGGTCCTCTCAAAATATTGCTAGAGACATATCCCCACTGTCCGTATGCAGAACTACACCCTTGGCTGTATGAATCACTGGGCCCTTAGAAGCAGCACCTTTTTTACTAAATAAATTCATACTCTACAGGAATCTTATATGTGGTTGCTGGATATCCAGGCCCTGCCACACACAGTATACACTCAACTTGCACAGCCACACAAAAATTTCTTATCTCTTAGACCTAAAGCACCCACCAGCCAGCCATCTCCTAAAACCACTTTGCGTTTGTGCATGTTGCCCATAGATAAAGACCCTCGTGGTTTACACTTTAGCTAGTGCTGACAGTGTGACGCCTACAGTACGTAGCCCAGTTTACTCATGGGACTTGCTGCTTTTGTCACAAGTAATGTGCTACACTGATATTAATGAACTTCCTGCTTTCTCTGAATCTAGAACTTATGAAATTATTCCACGAAAAACCTCCCCCTATATTTCTGACGCAAAAGATCAGCCACAGAAACAGTTCATGTTTTGGGTCATGTTTTGTTTTACTCTCATATACACAGAAAAACTGTAACATCACCAATGTTATAGCCAAACACGGAGGCACTGTTGTATACGAGCATCCATTGTCAAGTGCACTTGGCTGACCTAACTGTGATGCGTGTGCTTGCAATGTAAGCTCTGAGAAAAATTGCAATGAACTCCTTCCCCATGGTGTTCTGTCATGGAGTGACAGTGTGTGTGTGTGTGTGTGTGTGAGAGAGAGAGAGTATATATGATGGTAGTCTGAGGAAAAGAAAACACTTGGGTCTGCAGGTTGCAGTTGTTGCATAGGGATCAGCAGGTGTGGCGGTCTCTTGACTTGTCTCCCAGCAGTTAATAAGGAGACACGAGGCAGGTGTGGAGAGCCAGTCTGGGGAGAAGCATAGCTCACAGACGTCATGAGAAGATGGCAAGAAGGACTTATGGAGAGTATGGAGAACGCCACTTTGACTATGCCAACCTTTGGCCGGGTTACAGGCAACCCTTCCTTTGTGTTTTCATTGGCTTGATATTTTGGGTGCTTTATATGGATATTTAGCTGTAGTGTATTTGGTTAATAGATTTGGCTGTTTCCTATTGGGCAGTGTATTTTAAACTGTCTCATTCTATACCATATGAAATGGGGAGTTGGGACAGTTTCTGATCTAGTTTCACCCTCCTCCACTGGAGATGCATTGAGGCTGCGAGGGATTGGAGGTCATCCACATGTGACAGCCAAGCTAAGGAGGGACTGTTCTTATCTGGATTGGACACTGGACTCCTTTAAGCTTGAGATATTTTAATGTGTGTGTGTGTGTGTGTGTGTGTGTGGGGGGGGGTTAATCTATAATAAATAAATTAATTTTTTCTAACCTTGGTCTTTGCATGCTGTTTTGGAGTAAGTCACACGTGCAAGTCTTAACCTTGAAGTCTCAAGCAAGTCCCAAGTTACGGCAGTGAGAATGAAGGAAGTCAAGTTGAGTTCCTACTATAAGTCAAGCAAGTCACAAGTAAAGCCATACAAAATTCTGATAATGTTATGGGAAGCCAAGTTTAATAGCTTAAACTTTACGCTAACTTTCTGGCTAATGTTTGACCAGCCAATAACGTCGCTAAAGTACACATTCACATACTATACTTAACCTTTCTTTGTGAGTTTTGTAGCAACAGATAAGGTTGGATGTTGTGGTGGTGGGTTTTTTTTTTTTTTTTTTTTTTTTTTTTTTTTTTTTTTGCTGCATACTGCTGTTATCTCCAACCTAATCCTTGAATCCAAATTTGATTAAATTAGGACTAGGCCCCTCCATGATAGCTGTCCTGTGCTCTGTGTTGCCCTCTGCTGGTCTGCTTCGTAGGTTGCCAGGTTTGCGCACATTGCACTAGAACTCGCACAACTGTGTTTCAAAAACAAAATATGACTTCTATAGCTAGAAAAATGCAAATATTTAATAAATAAAAGGGAAGTAATTTTGAGTCATCTGTCTCAAGGCTAACTCAAGTCTCAAGTCATGAATACCTAGTCAAAGTCATCCATCCTTTATCTATACCGCTTATCCTGAACAGGGTTGTGGGGTGCTGGAGCCAATCCTAGCTGGCGTTGGACGAGAGGCGTGGTCCACCCTGGACAGGTCGCCAGTCTGTCACCGGGCTGACCGCTCCATTATCACGCTGTGCCTTAGGTAGACTTAAAGCCTAATTCAAGGGTCTGGAGCTGTCCTGTGCTGTGCCTTGGTGGTTCTTGGCCTTACTTTTCAGGAGGGATCCCTGGAGACATCCCAAAACCTTGGGAGAAGATCCATCTCAGGATAATGCTACACTGCTCAGCCTCTGCAAAGAAACATAAATGTAAAGCTACTGTGTATCTTGGTCTGGTTCACCGGTTGATTTTATGAGTGGACCAAGTTCATTTTCAGTCGGCAGGTGTGAAGTATGCAGTTATTGTGCTGCTGGTTGTGAGAAAATGGGTAATTTGCAACAAGCAGTGCACTTTGTAATGTTAAGTGAGTTTCCAGTGAAGCAATAATAATCTGCATGTTATTTTTATGGAGACATTGTTAAATCGCACAAGGTCTAGAAACACTTCTGTGTGTTGTGCAAAAATAAGACAGTGGTAGCAAGGGATTGAGTAGATCAGCAGAAAGACCTAACAGTCATTTGTGTGGTTTTTTTTTTTTTTTTGGTCTCCTGAACACTGGCAGAATTCAACATGCATGTAGCTGTGTCACCCAGCCTTTGTCATAGAGCAGTTACACTTCTACAAATATTGTGCTTTTGGGCCCTGCTAATGACCACAAGGGTGCATTTGTCCTTGGTGGCTGCTGTGTTTTTGTGTGTGGTTCCACAGGCCTGTTGATTGTGGAAGCAAGGCTGGACTGCCATTGCAGAAAGAGGCAGTTAGGCATGTGCCTGGGCTTTGTGGGCAGTGGTTTGGCTTCCTGCCAGACTCACAGATGGCTGAAGTCTCAGTTTCTTTTCTTTCTCTTGCTATCTTGTTCCACTCACTCACAAGCTCCCTCACTTTCTTTCTCTTCTTCCTCTTACCCACCCACCCCCCAATTCCCTTGTAGACGAAGACATTTCCTCTTGTAAACAGAGAGCGAAAGAGTAGGGTTAAAGGCACAACAGTGTCTCAGAAGAATATGTCACTCTGTGGTCGTGGAATGCTTGTGACTGGGTGTAAATATTCTGCTGAAGAGGCGTTGAAAACGGCATTAACAAAATTTTGTTGCAGTGCCTCTTCTTTAAATGCAATGCGTGTTGGCATCTTGTCGATTAAAAGCGAGGGAGAAGAGTATTTCACTTTTACTTGTATGTAGTGACGATCTTTGGCTTCTCTGGAGTGAAGGGTAAGCACAGGACTGGGATAGAAGAGTCTGGTGCAGGACCAGAATCACATCACTGCACTCATCTCAGAGATTTTGCACATGGTGTGGGCTATTTCTGTGCCATGTGTCTGACTGTCATGATTTGGTAGGCTACTAGTAATGCACTCACACAGTCTTATGGTTCTGATGAGGCTGGGTAAATGATATCTTTTAAGAAAACAAACAAGTCGATAAAGAGATGCACAATATTGATGTGGTCTGAACAATCACATGGCTTTTGGTGATAAGGGGAGGAAAGCAGCTTAGAATGGAAACACTGATCTGCTGTCAGCTCAGTCCATCATATCACAGTCAAAGATACAATCAAGATACCATCAAGAGTATGTTGGCTGCTAACCCTACACTGACTCCTTCTCATTAGATGTTTCGGCAAAGGAGATGATGATAGGCCTGCATGTGACAGGTGAGAGGCAGCACTAC